TAATAGAGAACCAATTAAAATATCTTAATAAAAACCAATTAGATTTCTAATAATCATTGTTCTTTGTTAAATACTATTATCATGTGAGAGAAATACTATTATATAGATAAATATTGAGCTTTTCTTGATAATGACATAATGTGTCAACTAATATCTAAATAATATATAACATGTCACAATGGTGACAGTATTTACCTAATATCACTCTAAATAATTTGTGAATCTAAACACATAGAGCTAAAAATATTCTTATACTATTTGAAGAAAAAGGGATCAGAATCAATAGAATTAAGTTAGTTACTTATAGCGAAAGTGATATTTCTAGATTAAATATTATTTAAATTCAAAATATTATAGATTATATAAATAATTAGATTCATATAGTCTCAAAAACTGTTACTATTAGTAATGATCTGAATTATATGACTTTAACAGAAACAATTTCATCAATCATATCTCAAACAAGTAGAACTAATTTAACTTATGACTGTATTTATTTTTGCAACAAGATATTGAATTAATATCCAAATTTATATAGCGAATTTAGTAATGAAAATTTTAATTATTATAATATTACTGATGAGACATCATGTTCATTATGCAAGTTAGATTATAATAATAAAGAAAGCATAGAAAGTAGATATAAAGCCAGATTCTATTTTATTAAATACGAATAGTGTGAAATTGAGATAATTATATAATCTCATTATTTTATTTGCTCATGCTTCATTATGATATTTTTTTAGCACTAATTTATATCAATTATTACCTAATTTAAATTGATCTGTAATCATAAAAAAAGGAAACATAATCAAGTTTGATAAAGTATTAATCTCTGAATATCTGAATTAATATATCAAATTAAGTGAATTACCAAGTGTTTTGATGAATAAAATTCAATTCAACTTATACAAAAAATATAAAAAAGAAACTGAACATGAGCCATAATAATTATCAGAAAATCATCTTCTCATAAATTTAAAGTCAGAAAAAAGTATTATATTTAGCTTTTTCTGAGCAATGTGAAAAAAAGGGTTTATAACTTTTGAAGTCAGATCTGATTCAGAATTAATTATCAAATCTGTCTTAGAGCACTTTCCATACTTGAAATTCAGAAATAATTTCAGAGGGATTGATAATTATGATTTTACATCACCTCAGCCGTGAAGCTCATCATGCCTTATTTGTGATGGAAAACATAAGAATTATGAATTACATAACTCATGATACTGCAAAAATGGAAATCAATTCCCTTATGATCCTGAGTTAGCGAAATTGTATTTCCAAGATAATTGAAATATTGTTTTACCTGCAATATTTCAAGCAATAAATTCAAGTTCACAATTGTGATTTAGATTGATCATATGAAATTGATCACCAGATATCAGGGCTATGCGATGGAAGATTTTTTTTCCAAATATATATCTTCTGAATAAGCAGTAAAAAAAATGTTGGCGAAAAAAATATTGGAGAGGAAACTTTCAGACAAGACATTTATGCAGTTAAGATGAATTTACTTTTGGCTGTGTTATGCATTTGCAAGGAAGCAACAAGCTAATAGACAATTTTTTCATTTAGGATTTCGAAAATTATATTGTATAATACTTCACTCATATGAAATTTTTTTATCATTTTAGTTTGAAGTAATGTTATCAAATAACCTGTATTATGTATTTTTTCAATAAAGCAAAGACACAATAAGGACCAAATTTGCTAGTTATGGGGTTGTGGGAAGCATGTATGCTAATATTTTTTCGATCAAGTTTTATTGAAATGAAATCATTGATCCAGAACAAATGCGCAGTATTATTATAGTAAACGTCATGTATCACGGGAGCAAGTAATTGCGCAAAATAATTTATTCTCAAACTTTCTCGCATATTCTCAAAATTATTACGTATATTATTAAAAAAGGGCCTCTTGATGATCTTTACATACGGATAGCGTAAGAAGAGGCGGTTGATCAGATTTTCGTGATGCGATCATATTAACGTAATTTCCCAAAGGTGTATAACAAAGTCGATCCTAGGAATTATATAAAAAGGCGATGTCCCGGTTAGTGAACCCTTTTATCCGTCTTGTGCAAGTAAAACGAAAAAATGAAGCGAAATAATCAAACTTACTATTATTTACATCATCAATATCATTAATCAAACGAATAAGCAAAGCAATAAAAGTAAGTCTGATTTTCGTTCGGCTAGTTTCTCTAAACATGCCATCATGATGTTAATCGATTTTTCCACCAAAATAAAACGGACGTATTACTCTTCTTGTTATATATCGGCATTTTGATCTTTGCCGAGAAAATCACTGACCATCATCACGCGTATAATAGGCGCAGTGAAATTATTCACATAAATCTCATCACATGCAATGGCACAGCAAAAGTCTTGCGCAGTGCATCAAGCATCTTCACATGCCGAATTCTTAATGTTTGGCACAGTATCTCAAGCGTCAAATTTTTTAAAAATCAAGGCGGATTGAATATTCTGAAAATGAGACGTAAAGGTAAATGTGAATAACATTACATTACTTTTTTACATCAGTTGCTAATCTCCCGATTTATGTTGTAGATTCGAAATTATTCAATCTCGAGAAACTTCTCTTGCAGAACTTAGCTAAAATCGAAAATTTCTATATAATCTGTGTGTGTAGGAGTGATTTATATTGGCGGGGATCTTATTTGTAGAAAATGGAATCTCTTAGTTAAATATGTGATAGAAAAAAATTAGCAAAGAAATAATTTTGATGCTGGGACTCGCATTAAATGGCCTAGGATCCGCGTACTCCCTCCCTCTTTGATAGCATCATACATTTCATTCGCTACATCTGATTAATTATATATCCGAAGTTCAATAAAAGTTCATCCACCTCGGACATTTACATCGAAAATTTTTTCTGAAATGCTTGCAAAAGTTATTGTTTTTATGTATCTCACTGTCGTGTTATACTATGTAGTTATGAGGAAAATTTATCGGTACCGGTACATAGGATAATTGAATCACGTGAAAAATCGCACCGACGCGCCCATGTTTTAAACTTTTGCTAGAAAGCACGAATCATGTCTAAAGTTGACACATACTTCGATGACTTAACTTCCTGCTCGCTATTTGGCTTCCTGGAGCACAAGCGTCCAACAGAAAAAAGAAGCATATAGTGTGTACAAAGGAACACTTATTTCTATTGCTAAAGACGATACCACCAAGCCGGAAAGAAGGACGCTTGCGCAAGCTTGTCTAAACGTTTTTGAGGTTAAGGTTTCATTACCTTTTCTTTGTTAGTTTTTTTATCGTGTACCATCGTCCTATCCCATCCTCTTTCGACCTCTGTGTCGCCGAGGGAGCTATCTGTTCGACCTCTGTGTCAGTGGGGGAATTGCCTCAGTGCTGGTGTGGATTTCACGCTACCTCCTAACCTCTGTGTTGTGGAGTTAAGACCTCCGTGTCGTGTGTGTCCCTTTGGTGCAGGCTTTTTATCCTTTGGTGCAGACATATTTATAGATAAATATTTTATTATTCGTCAAACTTTTCTTAAAATAGGAACAAACTAATTCAGTTCCGGTAGAACAATACTGGATGGATCTGGCAAAGTACAAACTAGAGAACGAGATTTATCTCGAAGAGGTTTGTATGATAATTTTTGAAGCCTTATTATACTTCGATCTCAAACTGAAAAGTCCATTTTAGTCTCAACATGTTCTGGACGCGACAAAGGATACACGAGAACAAGGTCGTTTGCTACGAAAACTATTACAAAAAGGTTTGAAAAACGGAGTGTCTCAGAAGTCGAAGAAAAGGTAAAACCAGTTAATACACAATCACTGATTTCAAGCCTAGTTACAATGAACCGATTTATGACCGGAGGAGAATTAAGAATTTTATTTCTTTTTTTGTACTTAGTCCGATGATGATTTCATGCCTATCCGTCAACCAAAGCGGAAAAAGAATCTATCGTTACCAAAGGTTAGGATATTGATAAGACATTGAATTTTATGCAATCATTTTTTAATGATTATTATATCTGCAGAATAAAGAGTCGGTTGGTTCAGCTGTATCTAAGAAGGTCAGTATAAAGTGCATCCCTATGATTATAAGGATTTGTTACCGTGAATTCTTCTCAAAATTTTTTTTGCGTAAACAGGCCAAAACCACGAAAGACACGCCATCATCATCACAAGGAGTACCAAATCCATCATCATCACCAGGAGTACCAAACCTATCATCATCACCAGGAGTACCAAACCTATCATCATCACCAGGAATAACAAACCCATCATCATCAAGTTTGTTGCGCGAACAGGTCAAGTTTACAATCCTTAGAAAGTGTGGGTTCTACCAGAGGAGATACGAAAATGATGGATGAAGTTAATAATCCCGGGTATAACAGACCACATACTCCACCTCATCAAATTTACTCTACATCGGAGAATCAAAATTTACTTACACGATTAAGAAATGAGAAACAGCGAGCAAAATCCACAATGTAGGTAAAACGGATGAAACGTGCTCGTTAAAGTTAACGTATTATATTATTAATTAACTTTATTGGCCTAGGGAGCCCATTTGCTCGAACATAGTTGACACTACAAATAAAAACTTAATGGAAAGACTGCAATACCAATATGATCACCGTTGGGAGCCTGTCATAAATGATGCAACCAAATATATCGATGAACTAATTGAAAATGTGGGTTTTAAGGATTTGTCACTAGTAATTTCTTTCTCTCATAATCTTACCACTTCCTTACTATATTTCAGAGCGATACCCGCAATGACTTACGGAATAAACTTCTACTTCCATTCATCCCATCTGGTGAAACTTATTCCTTCAGTAAATATTATGAGGTGCATTGGGTACACCGGTTTGCTGACAAATTGTGAGTTAAATCTCTTATTTAATTAGTTCTCATTTCTTTTGCTTTAGTATATTAAGACTGGCTACAATAAATTGGTTTTATTATCTAGATCATTATTTTTCGAAGCTCCTCGGAATCCACTTCTAGATAAGAATTCTGAAGGGTGGTTAAATTGTCATATTTTTGCTCCTCTAATTGTTTTTTAATATGTGAAGAAATCCATGTACATCGGTAAGATTATAAATTATTTAATATTTAAATTAACTTAGTGTTTCTTGAATCCTTTTTTTTTATTATTTCAGCTGTGAAGAAATATCCTTGGCGTCAATAATGCGCAAAAATTTAACTAGGGAAGAATCTGAAAAAAATCCTCTGGACATAAAATAGACATAATTTTTCGCGTTGATGATGTAGAATATTTTAGTGCAGAAACATATGTTGATGAAGATCCTCAAAAACCAATCTCATATAAACACAAATTATTTAGAGAAATGAAGGATCAGCTGGACCGACTTCTAAAAAAGTTGGAATTTACAAAAGAATCGATCAAAGAGGTAAAAAAACATCTTCATACATGGAATGTCGCATGGAGGTAATTATTAGAAATAATAGAAAAAATTTATTATATTAGTTATTACACAATTGATTGAAATAATTTATCATTCAATAGACCTCAATGGCAAGATATATGCCATGTATTATAATATCGATCTTGAATATTATTTTGTATATGAAATGTGCAGATATCGAATAGGAACAACATGGTTAAGTGTCCCAGATATTCTTATGACCTTAAAAAAGATACTTTGTTTGAAGGTATGTCTTTATATATCTCAGTTGTGTCTATTTTGCAACTTCAGTTTTTTTCTAACTATTTTTGACAATATAAACAAAGTTCTCGGCGTTATTAAAAAAGTAAAGAGGATTTGCTTATATTCAAAGCCAGAAGATTTATTTTCAATTAATAATCTTTTAGATACAACATCATCTCCGAAAAAAACAGAATAAATGATTTTATAGGTTATTGTGTATTGTGAATCAATTTATAGGTTGATAAAAAATCAATATAACACTGAAATTATTATAATTTGCTAAAATGCTATAAATTATTAAAATCAGTTTTCTGTAAAAAAAATGAATCATTTTTGATCTGGAAAATTTCCAATTTTTGAGTCTGAAAATTTCTGGATTTTTTTCTAATTTCTAATATTTGATTTAAATCTGAAAATTCAATGGTTTTGTTAACAAATTTCCAGAAAAATATCTAATATTTTTTGGAATATAGTTGAAATATATATGCAAGTTAAACTGAATCTTTTTTTATTTTTTCCTAAATAGAGTCAAAATATATATGCAAGTTAGATGAAATTTTTTTTATTTTTCTGAAATATAATCAGAATATATATGTAAATTAGATAGAATCTTTTTTTATTTTTCTGGAATAAAGTCAGAATATATATACAAGTTAGATAAGATCTTTTTTTTATTTTTCCGGAATAAAGTCAGAATATAAGTGAAAGTTAGATGAATATAAAATTATATTTATTATTATATGATTATAAATTATGCTCTAAATGTTCTATATATTTATATTTGAATGTTCTATTGCTTTTATAATAATTGGAGAAATGTCAGAATTGTAGTGG